CCTTCTCGGTATAGAGCGATGTAAACAGACTTTTAGTGGCCACAGCTTCACACCATCGATATATCCGAGCTGTGGTTTCAACTACACTTACCAACGTTCTAACCATACCCGAAGTTGTGAAGGAAAAATTTAGCGGCATTTCTCGCTATATTTTCTCTTTGTCTACGTCAAATCTTAGTCTACGCTGCAGAGAATAGGACTTGACGTAGCAAAGGGAATGCAAGCGCACCATTTGAGACGAGCTCAAGGCCGACATTCGAGACGCTATTGTTGGGATAACGCCGCACATATTGAACAGAGTTATTGTCCGAGCACTTGAAGTAGTGCCAGCGAAGCCGAGATGGCTATTCTAATACACGCTATTCCATACATAATGGCATAAAAGTAGGTTCAAAGTCAAATCAAATCATTCATTCATGGATATAAGAAATGTACATTTCATTTGTCGATAGCAATTTTTAAGCACGTTTCGTAATCAGGTTCCTCTAACGGAGAAGAAACAGACGAAAGAAACTCCGTAAGTATCCTTTTTTGTCATTTTTTTTCTCAAACAATTACATTGTTATACAGTACATATTTTTATTTTAGAAACAGCTTAGGTGCGATCTCATTCCCAGGGGTTGTTATCGTTAATGTTGTATTCGTTTATATTATAATAACATTTTTTAAAAAGTTTTCTTTGATAAATTTCTTAAAAACCGTTGTTGTTTTATTTAATTTTTTTCTAACGTTATAACTTGTCACCACATTTAAGATTGCACTTACAAATATTATTATCTAGCTTAGGAATCTTTCGCACCCGAATACACAACGGCGGTTATGATGTCAGCTTAACTGAAAAAATTTAAAATTACATTTTTTAATTTATTTCGTCTTATTGGGACTTTTTAGCATACGATTAAAAATTATACACGCGCTTTTAAATTGCATTTGCGTTGCCAGACAAGTAATTATTTCAGACTCCGAAATACAGCGGGGATGATAATATACAGTGTCCCAGGCGGCGGCGGTGAGTATCCGGTGCCAGCACTTATCGTGCTCACACAACGTGAAATCCTGCATATTTTTACTCCATAATTATATTTAAAGATAAATAAATATCGATCCAAGGTACTGCGGCCTCAGCAGTGGACTAATTGATTCTTCTCTGTCCCTTATAAGGACATGTGGAGCAGTACGACTTTTCTTCATTAAAAATATAGCAAAACGTGGATAAGCTCATCCATGAATTTTAGGCCCACAAAAAATGGGCAATACTCTGAATTTACGTTTCTCTTTGTAGCGGACTTTTTTCAGAGCAACGTGCATGGGCGGCGGTTTACCACATCAGCATCAACAAATTTTACTCCATAATTATATTTAAAGATAAATATCCAAGGTACTTTTTCATAACTTCCATAGCATAATTCCATCCATGAATTTTACAAAAAGCAATACTCTGAATTTACCTCTTTGTAGCGGATTTTCAGAGACGTGCACTGGTTACCAACAAGCGAAATTCATATTTTCATAACTTCAACTTCCAAATAACCGTATTTTCTCCTCGGTGAACGAAGAATCCTTTTAAGCAGGACTTTTAAATCCCTTCACAGTACTAGTCTCAGATAAAAAACTAGCATACGGATAAATTTAAATACATGAACTGCAATTATTCCAAACCGCATCTTTCGCGTGAAGTATACCCACAAATTTTAATAAATTTATTTATTTATCATGGTCTAACAATTAAATTGACGTATACCATACTTATTTTATTACCATTATTACCATACTTATTTATAAGTTACAAGCTGGCAGCGTATTTATAATATAATTATGTATAGTACGGCTAAGAACAGACACAGGTGTAGTATCTAATAATATGAAAATAAGATTTTTTCTTAACTATTAGAGAACATTTAAGTTTCAATATGTTTTGCATACCCTTTATTCTTCACGCACTCCAACATAATTACCATGAATACTTTGATTCGTTGTATTTATAACTATTTACATAATTTTATCAGTCGACTTCGGATAATTGGGCTAATCGAGTTAGTAAGTTCCCGATAGGCTTTTGAAACATAGTTTTTCTCTGATGGAAAAACGTGATAGAAACGAAACAAAAGTCCCTCCGCTATCAATTCGGCGCTCAGCACTGAAATATTCCCCTCCTACCGCCTTTCTAATAACACAGCTGTCATTCAACGCTTATAAAAAATAACGTTGAAATGAAGCACGAACCACTCAGCCCTCGACACCTCGGGTACGTTTTATTGAACTAGCAACGGCGAACCTTTTCAGTTCGACGTTTTCTAAAGAGACCTGTAATTTATTTACATCAAACTTGCGATTTAATTCGCACTTACATAGGCTCGAATACTGAAATTCTCGAAGCGGGTGCTCTGAGGGAGGTACATTTTTTTTTTCGGTCGCATTCCAAACCAGTGTAAGTGTTTTTGTTTTCTTTATTTCGTCAGTATTGGATAAAATTATACAATTATTTTAAATGTATCTTTTCACAACTCGAGCATGTCACTTGCAACCTTCTATTTGCTATGAGACGTCAATCTCTGCTTAGCTGGCATTATTTTATTTGCCAAGTGATCTTATTAGACGTCAAACCGAATTTCGCACATAATTTTTGCTTTGCAAAAAGATATTTTGCGCAGGACGCGCGATGATTGTACGAGCTTCTGAGCATGTACAATAAATGTTATTTTAATGCAAGAAAATAGTAAGTGAGCTGACGTTTCGCCCCTTGCTAAGGGATAGCGCCCATAGACATTTGAAACGCTCGCAGAGTTGCAGATGCCAACTTTTAATAATGGGTGCTGGTTACCTCACTGAGCCGAGGAAACTCAGCAGTAACTCTTACACTTCACCGGTCGTCTGTGAGGTCCGGTACTCCCCCGGACGGACCTGCACATTTGTGCAACAACGAAAACTGTTGCGTGGCCCTACCATAGTTAAACGCTTAAAACTGGCCTGCACCAATACAAGTTTTTAGGAATACATAATCACGATTAAGAGAAAAGACAGCAAGGAGCGTCTATTTGTCTTCGCTTCCTATCGTCCTATTTTCATAACTTACCTGAAGAGACATCATTGAAAAAGGATAGAAAAGGAAATTTATAAGATTTCATATCAGAGTACTGTCATATTAAATTTAATTTTAAGATAATAAATAGGGGATATAGGATAATAAGTAGGGAAAATAATTTGATCGACATTATGTACTAATTATTTGTTACATCTTCGAACAAATCTAAACTGTGGTTTGGAAGCAATAAAACTAAATGTCTTTTTTATATATCTGTACTCATGTATATTTACAAAATGTTACATAACAAATGAACAGAATATTAATGGAAGAAGTGCCTTAATATTTAATTAAGCTGTTATGGAATGATATGTAAAATTTTATATTGCTAAACGTGTTTATTGAAATTGAGAATTCAATTTAGTCCGATAATCATTCAAGCATAATTTTGACAAAAGATCTCTAGGTAAATGCCAAAAGTATTGCCCTTTAGAAATTTCAAAACGTCGTTAATTATCTAAAAGAATTAAGAATACATTATGTTAAACAATACCTTTGCTTCAATTAAGTGTAAGCAAATAGTCAGTAAGTAGTTTCAGCTCAAAACTTATCACTACCAAGATTTTATTTATTTCTCCCATTTTTTGTAGCAGCCGGAATAAAAAAACTATACACCGAATCCGATTTTAAGATAGATTGGATTGAATTATGCACAAAAGTTCCTTATTTTGAAAGTTAACTCGACGTTTAGTTTCGAAAACAATAATAGTTTTCATTTTTTTTTTCATTCAAACAATAATAACGCCATATCGTGCGTCATCATATATATGTGCGTCAAATTCATATTTTTTTGTAATAATAAACGAACTTATATTTGAAATAAATCGCGCAATTAGACTTGAAAAATTAATAATTATTTCCGTGCATAATTTTATACATCGTTATCTAGTCTCAAACTAAGCAAAACTTGTAGTATAGGTAGTACGTAACTGGTAAACATACTTAGACGTACCTTTTTTTTTGAAAATAGGTAAATATTAGAAATAAACACTAAAAATACTATGCTCATCACATCACAAATTTTTTATCCAGTCATGGGGATTGAACCCACACCTCAGACACTACAAGCAGATATTAAGATAGACGTGGATTTCAAATTGTCGCTAAACCATCTTCGCTGAAACAAACAAATATTATTTCACTGGAGCGCTACACGTCATAATGATATCCAATTTCATAATTTCTTAGTATCAGACAATTTATATGTTAAAACAATGAGTTTGTAAACGGTGAAAAAACGTGAAACGTCAAAATGTATTTCTTAGATTTGATAGAATAAAACTAGATCTATTTAATTCTTTATGTATTCCAAAATAGTTAGATAGAAATACATGGGTATGTTTATTTGTGTTAAATTAGCGTTATAATCTTATCGTAAAATAATAGACATTATGGAACATTTTTTTTTTTAATTTTTAGGTTTCAAAATAAACATAAAAGTACGTAATTATGTACTCCTGCAAAGAAACACGTTTGTTTTCTAATAAAATTTAATATATAATAGGTATTACATAACAGCTTATTCATTTTATTCAAGCATGGGACTCGCAATAATCGGTTCTAGTGTACGCTTTCTGAAAGTTTGGTCGTTAATATTTAAGCTACCTAAAGATTAAAAATGCACTTTTTTTTCTTTAAAATATCAAATTCGAAAACCTTTGATGTTTACAATAAATAACTATATTATATGTCCCATAGCATTTAACTGAAACCATCTGACAATAAACTGACAACGCTCTGGCAACACTTTTCAATGAAATTATAACCTCAAAATTTAAATTTTCCCATTAGATATTTACAAGTATAATTGTACTAGAGTTATATGTATAGTAAAAAAAATCTTAGCTATATAAAAAAAAATTGCAGCTCATCCACAAAACATGTACAAATATTTTTGACGAAAATTTCTTTTCGGCTATATGGTACAAGTGTAATCATAGCAAGAGGACTCTTCTTGTTGTCTCCTCTCTTCGTTCGAAACGCGTATATTGGAGGAGGCGCCAGTTGACTCCCAAAGACCGGGCGTCTCGATGATCTAAAACATTTTTCACACATGACAACACTGTTCCTTCCTGTATGAACATAATGGAACAGTTTTCACGTATTAATCGTATATAGATGGCTATTTCTCTTTTAATAATTATCATATAGGGTGATGAAATATGTGTAATCTAAAATGTATGCGATTATACGCATTTGTAGCTGATGTTTTCTTGGTCCATTACACATTTGTGTTCAAGGTTTTAAGCCTAAGGAGCTATTTAATATGAGTTTAATACATAAACGGCCGGAAGATTTTTCAGTGATGCCAGGGTTCAAGCTTGAGTCTTCTGTGTAACCCATCCAAAAGCTCTAGCCAACTAAGGTAGAACTAGATAGCTTAGTTGGTAGATGTATCCTTGAATATGTCCAACTGTATACATCGAGTGTATTTTTGCCGCTTAGCTCAGTTGGTTAGGACGTCTGGGCGTTTTCGCAAGAAGAAGCTGGTCCGGATCCTTCCAGCGCCGAAAAATAGAAATTATTTAGCTACTAATCCCAAATGAAGTAGCCTTGTTTTTTTTTTTTTGTTCATAATTTAAAACATGTGACATTGTAGGTACATTACGCATACTTTTTAATGGAAGAAACGTGACGGACTTTATTTTAGTAATATATATTTTATTTATTGTGGCTGTGAATGCTTTCTTTTTTGGCAAAGTAACGGAAGGCAGACGAAATAAACTTACATAAAAGATTTTACTACTACATGTACTACATATGTACTTTAGTTTGCCACAAAAAGTAAATGGTACTTAGGTCCCTTTACAGTGTCCGAAAACAGTTTGCTAGCGCCACTGGGAATTGGCTGAATCATATTGCACGTACTTAATTCTTCTATGTAGTGTTACAAAATGATTCACATTACGTAACCATACATTTCGAGCTCTCAGCTAATATTTCCATTCGATTATTTCACACACATTCATGAATCAACGGGGAACTGCATGATTTCAATTATATTATCACCTAAAGTTTACGTACTAACAAACTAAATCTGTCAAGAAATATAATCAAGTATTGTAAAGATATAAAATTGTTTATTCAATGAGGTACCCTTAGTAGATTTTATTTCGATTAAAAATAAGTTTTAGATATAATTCTTATTTTTATTCGGCTAGTACGAAGAAGCTGCGGTACAGCTGATGACAGGAGCAAATAAGGCAGTATCGATACTACTCGTACATGTAAGAAAATGTTACAACCGAATGTATGATTGAATTTTATATAAATACTAGTGGCCCGGATAGACATTGTCCTGTACACACGTCTTAAATAATAATAAAAAAAAATATTTCGAAGATATGTGAAGTCCACCAATCCGCAGTGGGGCCACGTGGAGGACTATGCCCTGATACCCTCTGTACACAGGAGGCCTTTGCCCAGCAGTGGGACATGTATAGGCTGATACTTTGTACACACGTCTTAAATTCGAAAAATTCCAACTTTTTTGAATAACTTTGTGAATCTAAACCATTCTCGAATCCATCTGAACACACAAAAAATTTCATTAAAATCAGTCCAGCTGCTTAGGAGGAGTTCGGTGACACACACGTACAGAAGAATTACATATATATAAAGATATCGACGCCTATCTTTTTATAATAGCTATAAATCCCATCAAAAATTGTGCTATTATTTTTTTACTGTTTCAACAATCAGCGCTTTGTTCCTCATGCAACCACATTTTCGTGCGCACCACGTCTAGTCATTATATGCAAATTGTGTACTTCTAATCTTCATAATTATATGCCTAATATATTATAATACCTAAGATATTTTGTCCACCTTTGACAATAAGCACTATAAAATACTTTTACATTAAGTTCAAAAGTCATGATACCTTTATTGTTGGGAATGTAGCTGTTTAAAGAAACGGCTTAAATATAAAACTTAAAGACCAAGTTAATCTAACTACCTAATGAAATTTTGACGAGCCCAGTAAATTTCGGAATGACGTCATAAACACGTTTAACCAATCAAACGCGCTCTGTTGCGTTTCAATCATATTTGCATAGGTCATATTTGCATACATATATCTTTATACGTCCATGCTTATATGTGTTTCAAAATAAATTAAAACAGATTTTCTTTTGTAATTTTCTCCGAAAATCTCCATAGCGCAAGTATCTTATGGATTTTTCTCATGCTCATCACACAATATTTTTCCAGTAGTGGGGATCGAACCCACACCCTCTGGCGCAGAAGGCAGGTACACTACCTACTACGCCATTCGGGTCGTCAAAATTTCCATATATAATTACAAATTATACAAAAAATGTACAAAATTATAAAGATCTAAAACGAAAAAAAAATACTACTAATATAATATGAGGTTATTTTGTTGTATTATAAAATATTATAATACTATTTTAAAACTCTTTTAACCCGCGCTATTGATATGAAAACTGTAGCAATAATATAACCGATTTTATGATGAAACTAAATGGAAGCAAACTTTTGCTTGGAAACCTTCTAAAAGTTTAATTGAAAAGTTATTCGGAGAGAAGTTATTTCTCACTTACCTTTTGCACCAGCTCTTCGAAAGCCAAGTTGATGCCTTCCTGAGTTTTGGCGCTGCTCTCAATGAAGAGCATTCTGTGTTTCATTGCAAACGCTTGACCAGCTTCCCTTGGTACCACTCGGGGCTAAGGATGTTATAAATGAATTAAAGAAGTCAAGTGATAACCGCTGCCCATGGACATTTGCAACACCGATAGGGTTGCAGATGTTCTGTCAGCTTTTAATAAAGTGGGCCCCGGATAACTGACTCACCAGACGAAACACAATCGAAGACACTTCCAGCTTGCGCCGGTCTTCTGTGTGGTCATGATACTTACCCGGGTGGACCTGCCTATTCGTGCAACAGCCGAAGCCGTTGCTTGGCCCTACCGCGTTAATAGGGTTTTATATGTTTTAAAAAATGAAATTGAAATTGATACATTTTCAATTCACATATCTTCTGGTGTTCTTGCGGAGAGATATGACGCATTACAATTGTAAGCAAATAATAAAATAATGAAATGAAAATGTATGATTTTACTTTTGTAAGCATAGGGAAGCTTAATGTACTAAAACTTATCAGAAACAATGTAGTTCTGAGGGACGTAGTTCAACAGTGGATGTTTACCGGCTTATGATAATAACAATAAAGATGTTGGACCACACTATCTTGAAATAAAAGGTTTTTAAATGAAAAAAGAATCTAACCTTATCGATTTTGTTACCAACAACCAAGCAGACAATATTTTTCTTTGTTGAATACACCTGAAGTTCCTCAACCCACTCCTTAAGCTTTGCAAGTGTTTTCGGTTCGGACACGTCGTAAACCAATATGGCGCCGTGTGCATCTCTGGAATGACACACTGATCAAATGTTCATAATTATGATATGCACTTTATACTAAAAAAAAACAGTTATTTTTAAACGTACCTTTTAAAGAGGACACCGATGAAATTGTTAATTTTAAGTGCTGACTTCTCATGTGCTCGGCGGTGAAAGAAACATTGTGAGGAAACCTGAACCTGATATTATGTGAAGTCTGCCAATCAACAGTGGGGTTGCATGGTGGATGATGCCCTCTGAACAGAGGTGGCCTTTGCCCAGCAGTATGACATATTATATAGCCTGTTACTTTATTTACTTACAACATTCAATCACACTACATTGCTCAAATGCTCAGCAAAAAGAAAATCTACTTATTGAGTTTTGAGTTAAAATTTTGAGTTAAAATAATGCATCCAGACTTTAACACCATCAGTATATAAGAAGAAGGAAGAGTTATCCATTGTTCAATATACTTTCAAATGTGATATTTTGCCGGTTGCCACACAAGGCACAAGTTTGAGTCAAAATAAAAAAAATAAAATTAAAACTTGCTAGTATATTAATGGTTCTTAAGCATACTATTGTATGTTGAACAGACCAACTTTGTAGCAGCTTAAAGATATTTCATTTCATATTTCTGATGATTTTTAAACTTTACAACACACCGCAAAAAAGTTTTTCCTAGACAAAGAAATAATATCATGGGAATATTATTTCAATACACAGATGTTATTGGTAATGAGAATAGTTGGCATGTTGCTATATTGGTATTAACAACAAAATTTTGAGAGGTTATCTTAGATCAGACCATTAAATTTCTCACATTTAAAACAAGAAAATACAAAACATGAAATGTCACATCTTTAATCAGAACATATTAAAACCTGACGTGAATAAAATAAACAGCTGATTCACACAAATAATGTTCACAGTCAATAATTTATATAAACTTTCCCTTTACTTTAATATATAATCATTTTAGAAAATTATTTTAAATCTTATTCTCATAAAGATATGAGAGTTCATGAAACAAGATTAACTAGCTGCAAACTCTTTTCCAGATCGAAACAAGAACTTTCATGATTGTGACACATTTTATCAGACTATTAGATATTCTACTTAATTGTGCCCATTAAGCACATAATGGTGATGTATATTTAAAAAAAAACTAGTTCAGCAGTAGAGTAAAATTAAAATAAGATAAATAAAAATATTAAAATATGTAGAAAGAGTACGAAAAGATTGCCTTCGTCTTCGGCATTCGCGGCCTGACAATTTAACCACTAAGCTAAATGGCTGATTGCCATACCGACGAAAATCTTAACGTCTTTTATCTACATTTGTATTTTAGCATTTGAAGCAATGCTTGGCGCATCCATTGTTATAAAAAATATAAACATTTCATCCTTCAACTATTATATTACAGACTAATTACCTATAAAAACTGTTTGTCAAGGTCCTGTATCTCTCTTGACCCGCTGTATCCCATATGCCCAATTTCACTTTCAGACCATTGACCTCCATTACTTTGCATTTGTAGTCCACTCCTATCGTAGCTGGGAATGAGGCATTGTAATCTCCTGTTGTGAATGCTAAGATAATACTGGAAACAATGGTCATATTTAATTTTTTTGTATAATAATTGAATTTGAGTAATAAACACCTAACCTAGTTCATAGTTTCTTACTTGGAAATGTAACTACTTGTACATGTAACCACTTACTTGGAAAGAGACCACAGATGTCACACAGTATTAACTGAACATTTAAGCAACTACACATGATATTTTGTAAACCTTACCTTGGGGATAGAAAATCAGTATTAGAATCTTAAGCTATTGTGCTAATGTTTAAATTTAATGAATAATAAGGTCATAATCTCTCATTCATTTAGGAATAATAAGTTCAATAAATAGCTATGCCTTAAGATGATTAAAAAAAACATTAAAAGTTATAAATATTGAAAAAAAAGTAAGTAATGAGATTTAAGAATATAGTGCTACGTAATTCAGCATTTAACCCAAGAGCCTATTTGTTTTTTTTTTTTTTATTTAAGTCTGACACTGCCTTAAAAGGCCTAAAAGGCCTTGCCCTAAAACCTATTTGAAACATAGATATGTAAATACCATTTCCACAGTTTTATTTATTTTACCTTGATTTACCTACACCGCTTTCTCCAATCACTAAAATTTTCAATGTAGTCACGTAATCCATTTTAAACTGCTTTAATGCAACGCAATTAGAAATATACAAAGGTACAGGCAAAATTTCTTTGTTGATAAACGAGCTCAACAAAGACCTTACTTTTTATTACTACACTAAAATTTAATTAAAGAACTTTAATAAAATTTGAACATTTATTAACGAACAACACAAAAATAATCACTGATTGAAATAAATATTACTTGCAAAATAAATGATTCACTTTCAATAAATGACGTTTTGCGTCATGCTTGTAAAATGACGTTATTCACGTTCCTTTCAGGCTACCGAAAGTAAAACGTTACAAAATATAGCAGCTGTTTATTTCATCGAAGTAATTGTAATCTAAAAAAGTTTAAAAATTTAATAAATCACAAATATGTTGTTTTTAACCTACTGTAACATTTTCATACTACTTTCATAGTACAATAATTTTATATTTTACAAAATTTGCTTTTTGCTAGCTTTATTAACCTTAATTGGAACGTCACCATAGTACTTGCGTCCATGACATTAGGGACTGCCAAAATCTCTGAACCAAAACGTAGTGAAAACATAAACGTAGTGATTACATTCTCTTTGCTCTGAACTGGAACATTGGACCTAAAAGCATAATATAATAATTAATGTAATATTTGGCCTTGGTCCTTAAACCTTAAATTAATGTATTAAAGCTAAGCATGTCCATTTATGTACAATAATTATTAAAACACAATAAATCAATTACGTACTCAGGATACCTTACATAATATTATATGAATGTTAAAAGCATTTTTTTTTTCAGAAACATTGCCCTAACTGTGATAGGGCCACGCAGCAGCCTCGACTGTTGCACGAATGGGCAGGCTTGTCCGGGTAAGTACCACGACCTCGCAGAAAACCGGCGTAAAGTGGAAGTATAACACTTTCCTTTCGTCTGGTGAGTGAGGTAGCTGAAGCCCATTTTTCAAACCTTTATTGTAAGTCTTATAAGACTTACTGTCTTAGATACAGAAATTTCACGTGGACAAACACCTAAACAATTACTTTGGCTGGCATAAATACTTGTCCCACGTGGGAATCGAACCAATGACCCCAGGCGCCGAAGCCGACAACGCCACGGAGTCATAAAATTTTACAATTCTCAACCGACTTCAAAAACGGAGGAGGTTCTCAATTCGACGGTTGTTTTTATGTTTGCTACCTCAGAACTTTTGTGTGGGTGAATGAATTTTGATGATTGTTTTTTTTTGTTTGAAAGCTGGTGCTTCTCGTGTGGTCCCATAATAATTTCATTTGTATTGGATCTTGGGCTCCGGAGACACTTAGGGAACTCCTGAAAATCAATTATAAAAGAATACAGAGCGAGATATTTGATGTCGGTTTTGTTTTACGTTAGTATAAAAAAAGGTTATGTTTTTGGTTACGTTGTGGCAAATAGATGCAGGTACGTGGAAAGGCGATGGATGCAGGTGGCCTAGAATCGTGCCTTGTGGGGAACGCTTATGTTATTGAACTTAAACAGGTTGAAATCATCATGATGAAATTAGGTGCGTACAATTAGAGAACAACCAACCAACCAGAGAAGTACCAACTTGAAAGTGACGTGAAAGTATTTTGTATATTATATTTTGTATATTTCCAATGCGATTAAAACAAATTAAAGTTTTAGGTACATTTCATTTTGCATTTGGAATGACACAATATTGTGACCAGTGCATAAATGTTTGAAAGAAAGATGTTAATGTAACGGACGGGCATTGCTATATATACGTGAAACGACGCGATCAAAAGATTCCTATTACTGCTGAATAGGAAAGTCATTTCTTTCAAACGAAAGTGCAATTGTTTAGAATCGAGACGGATGGAAGCCGCTGCACTTTGTACACAATAGGCGTTTCAGTGAATGCGTTCTAATGAAATAAAGAGAGCGTTTTGTCGACCCGCACCATCGGCTCTAGACCCACATATGAGATGAATAGACCCCGCTCTGCGACCCAGTTGTCTCTTTGTAGATGGAAGAATCCATTATCTCACGTTCCGTTGAACTATCGAGTTCGGGCAAAAGCGTTTCTTTGTTCATATTTAATACGGCATAATATTGTCTTCGATTTCATTTTGAGCCGTCTCCCGTCTGGAATCTACTTCAATGATTTCAACGTAAACTCGACCGTTCCACCGTCACTTCACTCGAGTTATGAATATTACATAATCTAATATTTCTTCAGGAAAATGATATTGATATTTTTCGAACTTTTAATCAAATCTGAATACGCGATTTGTTACCATGTCGAACATTTTTACTGTGAGGTTTGGGTAGGGGTTTGCAGCGCACAAAAAAGTATTTAAATTAGAGTATTATGCCCTGTTGATTTGTTTGACACCTTAAAAAAACGTATAACGTTCAGAATTAATGTTCAAATTCAAATCGAACCAATCGAAGACAGGGCGTTCTAATATTTCAGGATTTGTGTCAAAAATACAATTGGCTCTATTGATTTGCTCCGTTGAGGGCAATTTAAGGGGACGCCTCGATGACGCATTTACGTAAGTAAGATTTATACCCCAATCGAATAATAAAGCGCAGCATTCAGCGACGAGCGCCGAACCAAACGGCTGAGTTTGAATAAAAGCCCCGGTTAATATGACTGACGTTAAAGCTCTTTACACAGCGCTGTTTTACACCGATACGGGTCGTGATCTAAAAGAGTTATTGTTTCACACGTAAGTTTCGGTGCTGACATATAAGTATTTATGTATTTTATAAAATAAAAATTCGACATAATTATAGTTATCTATTATTTTGAGATCTTCGAAACATATTTGAAAAAAAATCATAAATATAATGCTAAACTTCATCCATGCATACAAATTAAGTGAGGCAAACGTCAGTTTCCACTCCTGAATATTTTTCTCAATTAAAGTTCGTGCTGGCCGAGGAAAAGATAGTAGGTACTATTTTAAAACCGATTTTACTAAATTTTTTACCGATACCTTTTGTCGAAAAAGTATGTATATAATTTCCAGTGCACTCCTGTTATCTTTTCTTATTCAACGGAACAACTTAGTCGTATTACAAACATAAATTTCACGTGGACAAACACAGGGATACCAAACAACTATATTTGGGTCACACAAACAGTTGTCCCGTGAGGGGATCGAACCCACGACACCCGACGCCGAAGCCAATACCTTGGGGACTGCGCCACGGAGTCATGGTATCAAAATGACAAGAGGGAAACTTATCAAAAAATTAGATTGAATGTTATTTTCTGTAGATGCATGCGCAGGGCAAATGCGACATCGCCACAATGTATAGGATCAACTGAGGAGCCAAAGGTTTGTTACCATTATGTCGAATTCGTACACCAATAGTGTTGATTTTTGTCGGAGAATTAAAACTGGCCATATTGGTCAAGAAGGCCATAATAACCTAAAATAACTCTACTATATAGCATGGTAAAAATATACATACATAACTTCCATTGTTCAAATATAATTATGTTGGTTGAGCATGATCGAACTATTCACTTTTATGTGGACCCTTTTACGACGATATACAACCAACAGAACGTAATAAAGGATATATTTCTGGGTTTTTTAATAGTACAGAATTTTTGTTTTTTTTAGTACGACTGGTGTGAAGTTCATTTTACTTTGTTTTCCAAAAAAAGTTTTAATGTTGTAATAAGCTATAAAATATCTTTTTAAGAATCATTTCTTACTTTTTTTTTTTTTTTGGCTGATTTTTTTCATAACCGGTCGAAAATCGAAATTGCACGTTACGTAAAAACAAGATGCAATATCTACGCAAATGTACAAACCATCTGGGATGATTTTCACGGCTTCCAGCTAACAAATAACATTTTCGACGAGCGCCCATATCATGGTCCTCATTTCATGGCAGCCCGTCCCCTCACTATCGTTAATGTGTGTGTCCACATACGCAAGTATACTTTCTACACGATGAAGATTTATATAAACAACGGAAAAAGTACCTATAGACCTGGTGCCTTAACCGTACGTGATGCTTTATTGGTTTGATCTCTTTCGTTGTGGCTCAAACTGAGCCCCATAGTCGGTCACAAAGACACATCGATAATGTTGAATTGATGGCCATAGCGGAAGCAGATTTATTTTATAATTATCTTAATATCGTTATGCCGTGCAATTTTAAAAACTAAACAGTGTGCATTCGTCCCGTTACCGTGTCGTGACCTTTAAGATTGCCTCTCCTCGTAAAATATTAGGGTTGTCAGATAACGAAAAACAAAGTGAATGTCAGCTCCTTTCGAGATTTCTTGTTGCGATAAATTTGTTATTCGGCCGTTAGGCATAAAATATCTTTGAGTTGTAATATTTTCCCTCTCATTACACCAAATAAAAATGGACTTCAGAGATAATGCTTTGAGCCTAACCGTTGTTAGAGGTGAAATATTCAGTACTGTGGATGAATACTAAACATGATAAATAAAAATACAATTTATGCCTCAAACAGTATTCGTAATATATTATAGTTTCATCAATTATAGATTCATAGGCACCTATAGGTGCCTATGAATCTTTTTTCCAAGGAACGGTGCCAAGGACAACTGCTTTTTATTCACACCATGGTCATACTTAACTTTTGAGACAGAAGTCAGCAGCCTCTTATACCATCAGCCTTAGTGAAATCTTAAGTCAATAGTCAGAATTAGCAGTACGTAAAATGAAAAAGTATAGCACTTTAATACTCCGGATTAGAGAAACATTCATGAAATTTATAATCTGTTTTGACACACGGAACCAAAATTTATAATAAAATATTATTTCAAATTTATTTTCTTTAGCGGTTATTACGTAGAACACACATGTGTCGTTTAACTTTTCAATATACCAAAACGTATCTTCAAAGCGAAATGGCGAAAAAAGCAGCCCTTACCAGCCAGTGATGACTAGTATAAAACATTTTGACACCCCTATCTTCTTGCCTCGTGAGTTTAAACTGCAGATCGTTATTTGAAATCTTTATTGTCCATTACTTCCCACTACTT